TTCATCTTTCTTGCCACAACCTGACACAGAAGGCACTAGAGCTTTTCTGGGGGGCTGTGCTTGCCATGGAATCCAAGAGGGAAGTAGTACCAACTTCAGGATTCAAAATTGTAGAATCTTAAAATGGCCTGGGTTGAAAAGGACCACAAAGATCACCTAGTTTCAACCCTCCTGCTATGTGCAGGGTCGCCAACCACTAGACCAAACTGCCAAGAGCCACATCCAGCCTGGCCTTGAATGCCTCCAGGGATGGGGCATCCACAGCCTCCTTGGGCAACCTGTTCCAGTGTGTCACCACCCTCTGTGTGAAAAACTTCCTCCTAATATCTAACCTAAACCTCCTCTGTCTCAATTTAAAACCATTCCCCCTTGTCCTAAAATGACTTCACTGCCACAATTACTAGTTAACGTCAACTATTATTTCACCCCTTCCCCTCAAAATTTGTCTCTGATCTATAGACGTAATAAAATTGGGCCTGGTCTCATTTCTTCTAATGTTTGGTTCTATTCTGAATTTTTCATTATGTGTATCTGGTGACTATCTTTGGAGTAAAATAATGTCAATCAAAAAATACAAAGCCCCTTCACATACTTTCATACTTCACATACTTTTAATGTATTTTTTTGGCTACTTTTGTGTCCAGGACTCATCAGAAGACAGAAGTTATCTGTATCCTTTGAAGTTCTGGCACTAGAAGTATGTTTTGAAATAATACCAAAACACTGCAATTTACAGAAGATTTTCACAATACAGTCCTGCATCAGTACACACAATACAGTGTACATCATCTCAAATACAAAGGATTTAATTTCATATTACTTTGATGCCAAGATATCACCAGATCCAGAAGCACGATGGGTTATGATGCTGTGCTCATGCTAAGTTTCCCACAAGAAGATGATTTTTCTTATGGATAACAAATATGTGTTATATTTAAGACATATGCTAGCACATCTTCACTTTCTAAAGTGTTCTGGTTCAACTGTGTCACAGATTTCATCATCCACCTTCTCCCAAAGACCTTCCACCATGGAAAAACATTTAATGCAGACAGAGTGAAATGTTGGTCCTGCTGACTTCAGTGATTTCATGATTTAATAACCAAGGGTCCAGGTTTTCACCAGGGAACCCATGCACAGAACTCTGCTTCAGGGGAAAATGAATTACGGTTTGTTTTTAACAGAATCCAGTAGGGCTGGAAAAAAATATTTAAGATTCACCTACGAGTGATTTTTGAGCCAATCTGTTCACAGCTGAATGATGATAGAAACTGGCAGTCAGACCAGCATTTTTAAGCACTCTTCTTTCTAGCTAAAAGCTGTTAAGTATAGCAAGAGATACGAATCTAAGCATCAATTGAATGACTTTAAAGGAATCTTCAAAGAGCACAGATCAGATTTTCAGAGTTTGCAGCCCTTCTCATTATGCATATCCAAAAACTCACTAACCTACAGCTAAGAATTACACTTCTCTATCTCAGTTAAATACTCCAATTATCAGTGGGAAAATATTTAAAAGACGTTGAGAAGGAGGAATTGAGGACAAAAGATTACTGTGGAAGATTTGCTGCAGTTGCCTCCACGCTCCTGTAGTAGCTTTTGGTTTCCTGCTGACAATTTCTATCTATGGAGCTTCAGACACAAGATATACAAAGCTCAATACAATACTCTGTGCTCCCGTTCTTACAATTCCATTGGTCTTTGTGTTATGAGAGAGAGAAAAAAAAAAAGCAAAACACAGCAAACAGTCCACTTTTGCAACATGCATAGAGATAGGCCCAGATCTAGCTTTACTGAAGCGTACTGGCCCCAAAAGATGGGGAAGGAAGTGTGAAAAAAAGCTGAGTTTCTCCAAGATTACCACCAGATCATGCAGCTCTGCAGTGCACTGGGGCTCTTGCCTGTTTGGTTTCGTCCCTTTCTGCCACATAAACACAGTAGATTCACTTCACAGTATGGGACTTGCCCATCAGTGGAGAGTCAAAGCAGGAGAATCTTGTATCACAAACTACATTTTTCTTACATTTGTGACAGAAGACTTTCAGTGCAAGATGGTGTTAATGTTGTGCTCACATTTTAAGCGGCAAGTTCCTTTTTGCTTTACTTGGGGGTAAGGTGGAGGGAGAGTCACACTTCCAGATGAGATTCTTTTTTTTTTTTTAATCCCTCATTCTCTCCTTCAGCTATCTTATCTCTGCATGCTCCAAATTGGCTATGTAAGCTAGGGGAAAAAAGAATAACTGAGATGCTGGTGCTTTCCAGTTCTTATGTCAGAAGCTGCCACTCAGCACAGGCAGCACTGGAACACAGAGTATAAAAAGGAAGCATAGGCAAGTAGAAAACTCTGCTAGTTAGAGCATGTGTTAAATGAACTAGACTTAAAAAAGGGAGGCACCTTCACTGTGGCAGCTGTTGAGAAAGAACTTAAGAGGCTCTGGGAATAATGAATACTTGCATATCTCTGAATATTGAGTTCATGCAACTGACAAATCCTTTCCTTCCGCTGCATCATAGACCTCAGTACCAACCAGCACCACCTCCTGCTCAAGGAAATACCAGTCAACCCTCTTTTCCAACAGGCAGTCTGGCATATGAAAACCCTCTCACACCATACAATCACATATACTCACATATACTCACATATACTCCTGTAGTTGCAGGACCTTTCATTGTCCTCCAACTCTGAAGGCAAATGTATTTGTGAAGTTCAGAAAACTGAAGCTACTTGCAAAGGGCACTGCTTACAAGCAACTAGTGATACACACAAGGCACATATAAAGACTTCAACTCTCCTGTAGGCAGCAGCAACATTACACCACTTCAGCTGCATGAGCTAACTTCATGCTGAAACAGCTTTGCATTGCCAGAAAAGAAATATTAAGGCATCATATTAAATCATCAAATGAGCCTGTCAGGGCAATAAGCCCAGCTTATGCTTATCTTTCCCTCTATATTAGAAATATAGATAGCAACATTAAAACTAAAACACTGAAACATGCAGCAGCATTAAATCTACGTGGGGGCAGGGTACTTAGTAAAATGAACAGTTATTCCATAAGAACTGCTAAAGGAGGATGGGGAAAATGGTGTAAGTGATTGTATTTCCTAAGCCTGTGTATCTTCTCTGAAGACTCTCCCTTTTGTTGGCTATTCTCTTTCCTTATAAGCCCAATGCCTTAACGTTTTCCAAGAACTGTTTATAAAAAGGTCACTGGGGAATCTCATCATGTGACTTTGACATTCAATTGCATGGAACACACAGGAAAAAAAAGCCTTCAGCAGCAAGAATATAAAGGCTCACAGAAAAGTAAGCTGAAATAGGCTTATTGAAGACTTTTTGCACAAACATTTCCAGTCAGGGTTGGCTGATGGTAATTTTGTACAGAAATCCAGTTTTAATGAAGACACTGTTTGCTATGTCTAGCTGTGTCAGCTCCATTTGGACATATGAGTTTGACACCTGGGACAATTAACAGCACCTTTATTTTTAACTAATTTGAAAAAAATGTTCACTCTATTATAAATATTAGTTCTCCCATAAAACACGAAACTAATCAGTGCAGCCAAATCAACTGACACAGCTAGAAATAAGGTCATTAAAAGCTGTATGGATGATCAAAACATTCTCAGCATTTTTCACATAAAGACAGATACATCGAATTCTTCTTCACTTTTTCTTAAATATCTGTGTGATCCCTGTAGCCAGGGGGTCCAGATAACAAAGTATGTAAATAGCACAGGGCTCAGAAATGTGAACGAGGACATCTGAACTTTCCAGATTTCTGCTGCCATCTGCTTGCCAATGGCTTACTTACCATGCATGCTGCAAAAGTAAATGCTGCATGCTCCAAATTCTGACAGTAGACAACTACCTCAAAAAACTTGACTAAAACTACTGAAAAATAAGCCCACAGGGATTCAAAGTGTAAAAGCTACTCTGTACTACCTCTGTGTATTGATCCTCCTGGGCAAGTAAAATTGCAGTTCAGTGCAGACTAAATACTGGAAGCGATCACAGAATATTAATTCTAGTTCCACCAGAGTGATAGACCCTAGCACTCTGCTCCTCTCACACATATTTCCCCGTTAGGGTTAAAATCTTAGCAGATTACAGATCCTCTCTTCAGTCTAATCTCTTTATTTATCTGCCAGGACAATAAGACACATAGGTCAATCATTTACTCATACTAATTCGCTTTTATGGCAAAAATGGAGCCTGTCCCCCCTTAGTGAACTGCACCTAGCCAAAATGATTCCATTCTATGATTCTATGGCTCCATTCTATGAAAGGGGTATATTTTGATGAAGGAATTGGTAATGGACGCAGAAAGATCTTTGAGTAACAAGTAGCATAGACTTTATGTGTAACACTGCATGGTGAGCAGATTTTGAGTCTGTACACGTGTGCAAAACATGAAGTCCCTGTCTGGCACTACCTGTGTTTGCAAAAGCCAGTCCAAAAGGGTTTCAGCTGGCGTAAAGACTGTTGGTCATTGACGTCTGTTTTTGTTCAGTGGTTTCAATGCGACTATGTTTATTTGTGACTATTTCAAATTGGGCCTCTTTTCCACACTGCTATAGAAGGAGAAACTAACTTCTCTGAATTTAGTGTCTGTTTTGCAGCCCATTTTCATGTGTTATATTCCCAAGTGAATTTGCATAGAAGATAAAATCTAAATACGTACAAAGGAATGTCTGTATATTCATAAACGTGCACACCTGGGCATAACACTTAGATGTTTGTTTAAACAACGCAGCCCTGGTGGTGAATGGTGTGCAGACAAATACATGTCCTGACACTACTATGCTCCTTCCACGGAAGTACATGCAGATGCAGCCCACACACAAACATGGATGCTGCATTTGTTCCTGCCGATACAAAACACACGCAGCCAGCTTTTGCCCGGTCTCCCTTTAATGCCCCTCATGACCACATCCTACACTTCTCCTCCCACTTCCACAAAAACAGCAGTGCTGACTCTTATGAGTGTTGTACAAACCTTTGTTGGTAACTTCCCAAGAAACTTCAAAGAGCAACAAGTCCTCCACTGGTAGGTCTTCATCTTCCCATTGAGGAAGCCCATTAAGAGAGGTCATGGACAGTGATCTGGCCAGTGGCATTTTCTTCAGCCCCTAAATGCTCACCACGCAGGCCACAACAGTTGTACTCAAATGTCCGCTTAATGTAGCCGTTTCTCTGCAGTTCTGCTTGGAGTGGTCTGCCGGTGCGCTGGGTTTGGAGAAGAAAATTTACTCAGATAGCTGGCAGCTAATGGGTTTAAACTGTCTGACCACCAGCATTAAATTGGCTCAGTGAAATCCTCAGGGCTTGAGAAGCAGCTGCTGGCAGAGGTAAGAATTTAAAAAAGACTGACCTGAGGAAGGTCTTCGCTTTGGGGGCAGGCCTTTCTTCTGCCCCTAAAGGGAGGTAAAAATTGGTTTTGAACTCCCCAGCCACAGCATTCAGTATCTTCCCCTTCAGGAACAATTGAAACTCACCAGCTGTAAATCCAGCACTGCCCTGAGCAAACTCCAGGAAAGAGGACACTCTGAGTTCACCACCTGATCTGAGTCCAGCCCCCGAGTCCTCCCCTGCCTGTTACCACTCATAGACTTTCTCTACCCACTGGCCAGCAGGGTAAACAGGCTCTTTCTACATGATGCCTGTAAGATTACTTGTCAGGTTAAGCACTGTTACCTATTCTTGTTCAGTCCATCAGTCCAAAAGCACTAATTTGCCTCACACAATTTGCCTTCCACAGCGAATTCCAGCTGTGTTCCGTCTCTGGGCAAGCTGTTGGTTTCATTCTGCCTTAGGACAGGTCTGCATATCTGAGAGTTTCTACAGACAGAGCTACAGTTGCTCTATTTACATGTTTTTGTGGCACTCCCTAGATCTTGTCCCCTATTTTCCACATGGTTTCTCTTTTTCTCTGGCCTCTGGGCCCAGGGAAAAAATACACCCATCTTGCTGCAGCACAAAGCACAAAGCTAGGATGCTGCAAGGAGTGCACACATCTGCAGAGCTTGCAGCTTAAGACCTCCCAAGATCCACAGAGCAGCTGCCTACTGTGATGATACTTATGTGCTTATGCTCAGAGCCTAGTTCCTCTGGGACAGCTGTGTCCACTCAGCCAGAGTCTGAGATTAGAAAACAACTTGCCCAAAATCCAGAGTTCAGCGCTGACCAGATCTCCAGATCTCCAGGTGATATCCAGGGCATCACTAGCTCTATGGAAGGCAATGGCAGGCGTGGACTTCATAGCAGCACAGATGGACGGAGCAAGTCCAAGGCGATAGGTTTAGAAGACAGGCAGCCCATCTGTATAAAAGTAATACAAATATGACTTTCTTTTCTTTCCTATATAGAAACCAGTAATAAATACTGCAATTTACATAATTACATGGAATGGACAGCATCCTGTAAAATAGAAATGTAAGGAATGCTGTAAGCCAGTAAATATTTGAACTGTGGGAGAGCTTAAGGCCCACATATGCCAACGTTGCTTTGTCACAGCATCACCATATTCATCTCTTGTTTACCATTATGCTGCCAGTCTGCAAGAATGGACGTGTATACAACAGCACACAGGCAATGTAGTACCTCAGAGCAGCTGGCTCACGTTATTTAGATGCAAAACCTGTAATACTGTGGGGGTCTCCTCATTTCTGAACCCCATTTCTGAGGATGGCACTACATAATCTTTCAGGTCCCTTCCAACCTAAGCCATTCTATGATTCCGCCATTCTATGATTCTAATATCAAATCTGCCCAAGTCACCCTTTTCTCTGAAAATTTTTTTCTCTGAAAACCAAGGCGGGGCTGACAGCCTCACAAATATCATTCCAGGTGACGACTAGAGAGGGCAAATCCAAGCCAGCCCACAAACTCATCTTAACCGCAGAGCCCCGTGCCACCCAGGCTCCGTTTCGCACACCACGTGTGCTGCTCGTTGACCACTAGGGGGCGCCCGCCTCCCAACGGCGCGATAGCCTGGCCGCCATGTCAGGGTACAGCGTCAGCCAGCAGTGGGATAGCGGGGGTACTGACCGATGCCAGATGGACGATGGCAGTCCGCTGCCCCCAGGCATTCAGCAGCTGTAACAAACCTAAAAGACATGTGAACAGTGAGCTGAGGTCAAAATAATAAAAATGTTAAGGTTTTCATATAATCTGAGGTTTTCAGACTTTCCAGGCTTTTCCAGCTTTTTGTGTATGTGTGTGTGTGTGGGTTGGCAAAAGATGGTAGAACTCCTTTAGTCTTGGCAAGTGGGTTTGCAAGGATCATCAGCTCAAAGAGTATCACAGAATTGCAGGGGTAGGAAGGGTTCTCTAGAGATCATCAAGTCCAACCCCCTGCTAATGCAGGTTGCACAGGTAGACATCCAGGCAGGTTTTAAATATCTCTAGAGACTCCACCACCTCTTTAGGCAGCCTGTGCCTGTGCTCCATAACCCTCACAATAGAGAAGTTCTTTAGAAGTTCTTTAATGCTGGTACCTGTGATCCTACAGAAAGAAAACAGCTCTCCAGGAGCAAAGTTATATTCTGTTAGCAAGAATGAGCAAATCTACAGCATATGCAGTGGGGGGGCAGTTCCAAGAGCAGAAAGGAAAAAAGTCACTGTCTATCCTCCATGCAAAGTGCATTGAGAGGCAAGTAATGAAAAGGGGACAGTGCTAACACTAGAAGAAAGTGCCATTTTTTGTTGTAGAGATAGGAAGTCACTAAGCTTAGAATAGCTCGGACTGCAAGGGACCTTAAAGCCCACCTGGTTCCTATCCCCAGCTGTGGGCAGGGTTGCCACCCACTAGATCAGACTACCCAGGGCCTTATCCTACCTGACCCTGAACACCTCCAGGGATGGGGCACCCACAACTTCTTTGGGCAGCCTGTGTCACTGCCTCACCACCCTGTGTAAACCTTTCCCCTGCCATCTAGTCTAAATCTCCTCTCTTTTAATTTAAAAACATTTCCCCTTATCCTATTGATATTCACCTGTGTAAAAAGTTGATTTCCCTCCTGTTTATAATCTCCCTTTAAAGACTGCAAGGCTGTAATGAGGTCTCTTCAGAGCCCTCTCTTCTCCAGACTGAACAAGCCCAGCTCCCTCAGCCTGTCTTCATAGGAGAGATGCTCCAGCCTTCTGATCATCTTCCTGGTCCTCCTCTGGAGTTTCTCCAAAAGGTCCACATCTTTCCTGTACTGGGGATCCCAAGCCTGGACACAGTACTCCAGATAGGGTGTCAAGAAGGCAGACAGGGACAGTTCTCTGCTGGCACTCCCTCTTCTAATATAACCCAGGATATCATTGTACTTCTGGGCTGCAAGCGCACCCTGCTGGCTCATGTTAACGTTTTCATCTATCAGGACTCCTAAATCCTTCTCAGCAGGGTTACTCTCAAGAAGTTCTTCTCCCAGTCTGCACATATATCTAGGGTTGCCCTTACCCAAGTACAATACTTATAGATTTTTTTTCTTCTTCTGTAATATAACAGAAAGGACAACTGCTGAATTGGAAAAATGGAAACCTACACAACACAGTAGTTTATAAAAATACTTTCCACAGTACTGAAACTGGTTTTGAGTCCAGTCTTTATGTTCCCATATTACTGTTATCACCAAAGTACACAAACACCCTCAGGTAATGCATTATACAACATGGCTCAGTCTGGCCTGGCATCATAGGTGGTTGCACCAAGTTCTCAGCTTGTGGACTTGAACTAATCTCACTTGCAAGATCTTGGACAATAAGAAGGCTGTGTCTGAAAAGTCTTTGAAGAGAAATGGCACAGTGTGTGTTTTGTTTTGTTTTTAAATTTCCTACAGTTCTCTGGATATTGACAGGTATCCAGCATCATTGCCTGAAATGTGGAACTGGCAGCGCAGTTCTCTGAATATTGACAGGCAGGGATAATAGGCAGATAAGAGCACACTGCCCCATATAAAGCTCTTTTCAAAACTGTTACATTCCAGGATGTGGTCATCTCTACTGGCTTTAATCTAACTCCTTCTGTTTGGGACCCCTCAGTCCCTCCTGTAGAACCACCTCAAGAAAGTTGGAAAATCAGGCTCTGGCTGTAAGAAAGAGCATGTTGGGGAAGAAATAGTCAATACTGTTTATTGACTGAATTTATAATGAGAAAAGTGCACCTGGGTCAGCTGTAGAAATAAATTATATATAGATATTAAAAATGTTCATAAACATAGGGCAAAATTTTACAGGTTTGTAGCATTAGTTACTTGCACAAGCTGTACTCTGGAAATCGAGCAGTAGGTGGCACTGATGGCATTAACAGGAGTTCTCCAGTATCTACTGTGTTGTTTTGCTTTTGACAAAAGGCCGTTTAATTTTTCTGACTAAATCTTTGTTCATGACAAACCTTAGTTTTATAAACACCGTGGAAACAGAATCACAACACAACCAGCAAAATGGGGGACCTCTGCCTGGAAGAAAAGCCCCTCCCTCAGGCTGAGTTGCACAGGGAAGAAGGGAAAAGAAGAGTAATGAGAGGATATTTAATAAAGTGAGCTCTCTACTGTACAGGGTGTTGTGCTCCCATCTAGGATGCAAACTCATGGACAAAGACACAAATACTTTCACAGATGTACAAACACAGCTCCGGGTAGTTCTGAATTCTTACTCTTTTATCTTGTGTGACATTGAAAGAATTGTTATTACAGCTAGCAGCTCGGTTTCACAGAGCTTATCTGTATCTTCTCAAGTAGGCAGGAGTGCATTATTTTACTTCTCTGTCTGCAAACAGTGGCTTGCCCAGCTTTGTGTGCTTTGAAAGACTGTTCTGCAAACTCAGAGATGTGGTGCTGAAAGAGGCCTTTCCATTCATTCAGCTAGTAAGGACTTAATTAGAGAAAAGGAAAAAAAAAAAGGCTGTGCCATGATCAGAATTAAGATACTTGCTGAAATTTAACCACATTCAATGATCCTCATGAACAGAAATTCGTCTTAATGAAATATAGGCACTACCCATGAGTATGGTCTTCTTTTTTGTCTCTTTAAGATCCACACTATTGACTTTGAATGCTTTGAAATGTCCAAAGATTTGTTTCTGTTTATTCTTCTGACTCTTATCTTAAAAAAAAAAAAAAAAATATATATATATATATATATATATATATATATATATTAGTTACACATATATACACAACAGAGCATTCAGAATCAGCACAGTACAGAAGTCATTTTAAAAAATGCTTATTTCCTTCTAATGCAAGACCATTCACCACTGGAAAAAAAACAAATTCAGTGTAATGAACAGAAGCTCAACAACAAATAGTCTCCCAGATTGATCTTCAGTCTGAGTGTATCAGGGACTACTCTGCTGTCATATGTGGGTAGGAAAATGAGTTTGATATAATTCTAAGGTGTACTGCTCATGTCTACACATTCCCAGTGACGCCACTGGAGATGGCTGAATGAACAGAGGCTTTGGAAATTATAGCACTCCTGTATCATTGCCTGAAATGTGGAACTGGCAGCGCAGATAGAAAATGTACTTCAGAAAAAATGTCTTTTTTATTCCCTTTGCATTTTCATTTAGTACATCCCATTATGCAAGAATTACAGATATTACCTTCCAGAAATTGCTGCTGATAGGTGCCACCTTCACTTTGTTTTGAAGATTTTCTGGATTTTTTTTTTTTTTAACCTCAGATGTTGAGTGTGTAAACACAACTAAGTAGGATTTGAAGAGCTCTTACAGAGGAGAGCATAATGGAGAAAATGTTTGCATAGAAATCATAGTTTGCACATCCAGTACCTGGGCCATATTGTGCATTGTTGCTCATGTTTGCAGGTAAATTACTCATTTCAGACACTGAACAAATCCAAGCCTTGTGAGTCTGACCTCTCCAGTAGACCATTGAAGTTAATGATTTGCATGACTCTTTTGCTTGCATAGAATGACTCACAAAGCAATGGCATCACAGGAAATCATTTATACAAATGGAGTACATCACTGTGGTTGGTGTGGGTTTTAGAAAGACCCTAACTATTGTAATCTCTGGAAAGCTTTGAAAGTTTTGACTTACTTAAGGTTGTGCTCTGAGACATGAATTAAAGGAGAACTACTCATAGATAAAGAAATACCCAAAATCAGACATTGTCCTGAGAGGCCTTGTTAGGCTATGGCAGTGTGTCATTCTGGACCACAATATATGGATGGGGCTCTTAATCACACTGACACTAGTGAAAGTTCTGTGGTTATATACCACTGAGAATGTGCAACATAATTGTAATGATTTATATCTGTAAATTGAAGTAAGTACCATTTAGTTGCAGCATAAGGCTGATGTGAGTTGTATCAACACAGTGATAACAGCAATTTGATGAGGAACTGAGGACACAAGTCACCTACTTACCACAAAATACAGTTCTAAGTTAGATTCTATGAAAGTCACGTAAACACTACCAGTCTAGGAAAAAACTCTGTACCTACCTATATGTTCTGTTGAACACCATTCTACTGTTTAATCCTGCCACCAACTCTCTGACCTCTTTTTGTCCTCTGACTACTAAAGGAGAAGCTAATGGAGCACTGCAGGTAAACTCAGAACAAGCCCACCTCTTGCTTAAGTGATGGCTGATTACCACAAACATCAGCTTTACTAAGCTTGCACAGTTTCTTGCTATACAGACTTACAAATAAACAAAGGATGCAAAGGATATTCGAGTAACAGAAGGTGATAGTTTGCTGTTCTGTAAGCATACATGAAGAAGCTATTCTACAGCAACTGTAGTGAAGATACAAGACTATGTGACAAGCCTCCTAACAAAAAATAATTGCAGTATAGTTGATGTATGCATACCCACTTACCTCAAAGGTTTGAATGCGCAGAAATTCAAAATTCAAGCTCTTTCTCCTTAGCATTTATTTTATTTATAAATCTATGTTACAAATACAGTGGTAATAAGCATATATTCGAGGTTAAGTGTAACATGGAGGATGACATTCTGGCCTTCTGGTATCACCATGCCAGTAATATCCCTCCTCTCTCCATTTTCCAGTGGTATTTCCTCATCTCTTGTCTGATGCTTGCAGAGCAGTCAGACTGACTTCCTGTTCTGTACTCTAGCTATAAACCTGCAAATACAGGAGGGTTAGGTCCTTACAGCATTCAAAACTACCTTACTGCTCTTACCTCGTGAGAGTCAAGCAAGCTGTCCTCAGTGCTTTCTGAAGTGTTCTGCTTCTGCGCGCTGGCTTTTCTTGCTTATTTCAACATAAAGTCCAACAGCACCATGATGTTTTCTCTTAGGCCAAGGTACCTCTTGATACACAGGAATGTGTTTAAAGACCTGCACTGCCTTTCACAGGAGCAAAGTTCATGTATCTATAGGGCTGTAAAAGCAAAACATAGACAAGATAAGGAGGAGTCTGCTATGTACAAAAGCCACAGGTATCTGTTAGGTGAAAACTAAGGCAATACAGTCATTAAGGAATTTTTATGTTTGCTGTTTAAGTTTATATTACAGACGAACTCCAGACAAACAGAAAGCAATAGGCTGCTATTGTGGAAGCATGCATGGGAAAGCTATTCTATAGCCATCCAATTGCTATGAAGATCTTATGTGATAAGAATCCTAACAAAAAATAATTATAGTTATTGATGTACTTGCATACTACTTATAAATATCAGTAATGCCAAAAGTAATCTGAAAAGTTTATTAATAAAATCTGAAAATTTCCTAGACTGAGGTAGTTGTTGATGTTTAACAATTTTGAACCAATCCCCACCCATTATGCACACAAGGCCACTTTATTGTTATTTCTTAGAATATTCCTTTGTGACATCATTTCCCTAGAAGTAGAAATAAGTAGTCAGGGTGTTCTGACAGTTCAAGAACTGCTCATCTTACAGACTGATGAGATTTCCTCATTCTTTCAATTACCTTTCTTGTTTATATACAGCCACACTATCTTGTCACAGGCTGCACCTTCTTGTGATAGGGACGGTCTTTAGCTTTCTGACAAGGCACAAAAGATGCTGTGTTAATGTTGAATTTATGATCACTTAAAAAAAAAAAAAAAAAAAGAACGCAACATGTGGATACAGAGAGTTTTGAACAGACAGACACTAGGGTGACAACAGCTTCCCAGCACAGGCAGTGATTCCTGTGTTAATTTCAAGGCACCACAACCTGAGGTACCAGTTTGCTGATCTCACAACACAAAGTAAGACCCTACTCTTTGATGAGTGAGGATTGCATGCTGATTTAGTCAGGGACAAAAATCAGTTTTATGGCTGAGAACTTCAAGAATAATCAAGATTCACAGACAGAAAGGAAAACTGCCCACTCTCTGTCCTCTAAGACAGCTGATGCCTCTTCACACATACCAGCCTTAATAATCCTAAAAAAGTTAAATTCCACAACATATTTTTGAATTTTATATCATTGACCAAAAACAGTACAAGTATGAACAAAGTGGAGAAGGATCTATGCGGTTAACCTACTGAACATGCTGTGGATTTTAATACTCAAATGCATTCAGTTTTTATGGATTTTCCTTTTAGGCATCAAAGGATCACTAAGCAGTCAAAAAATGTAACCTTGATTCTCACTTCAAAAATTAAAGAGGAAAAACGAGTAAGGGAAAGACCTTCCCCACCACACATTTACAAAACTCTCAATGCCAAAGGACAGAGTCTAATATCACATAATAAAACACAACTGCCTCCTAAGCCTCAGACAAGCAATTTAGTATTAAGCCTGAGTTTTATCTTTCTGAACACAACTGTCCTGGCAGTCAAAAGGGCCAAGTGAACAGCACAACATGGCTAACCAACCAAGAGAAGAAATTGCCTGGCTCTCCACAGAGTGCAGCCTCACCTCAAGTCTCATGTGTGTTGTCAGTGCCACAACTTAAGGATGTAACAATCGAGTTTCCAAAGGAGAAATATAAAGGTTGTGAAGCATCTAGAGGAAAGATATGAGAGCACCTGAGTTCCCCTAGTTTGTTAGCACAGAGGAGAGAGGCCTCTTGGTGGCCTACAGCTTCCTCACAAGGGGAGCAGTGAAGCAGACACTGATCTTCTCTCTGGCAGCAGCAACAACAGAACAGTGAGGAATTGCATCAGTGAGCCTCCTCCATTTAAGTCCCTACACCATTCATTTTTGAGATATATTGGTCAAAGTGAGAGCAAATGAAGTTGTGTCATTCTCAGCAACTTACTCTTTTCATTATTTTATAGTTAGTATCTACTCTATAGAGTAGAAAGCATCAATTTAGGTAATAAAACTTCAGGATATCTACAGAAATATTTTTCATAGTAGGTTTCCAGACATATAGATCAACTTATTTTACCCAACAGTTAAAATATCAGAAAAGTTTCAATTCCCAGGCGCTTAAGTCAGCATCTGGATTTCAAGTTTTCTACTGTACAGAAATTATTTCCAATAAGATTGTATTACTGCAGTCCCTCCACGGGTAATTACTACATTTTTACTAACTTTATGTTAGAAAATACATGTGTCTACACTGTCACGTATCAGGTGGCAGATATTAATGGTGAACACTATGGTCAGGATAAGCTGTAAACACCAGAAATAAGTCACTAGGACACCAAAACATGCCTTAAAGTTGCTTTATTTGTTCTTAAGGTCTGTGCATTACAGCAAGCTTATGCTTAGCTACTGTGGACAAAAGCTCAGTCTGGAAGAGCATTAATGTTAACCATAGAGATGGATAGCGAGTAGACAGCCCACATTTGTACACGCTGTTTTTCTACTGCTGCAATCTAACACGGGAGTTACAGATCTTTAAGATCTTTCTGGATGCTCCACAATGTGTCTGCACTCTTCTTCAGCTGAGCCACTTCATCGTCCTTCAGCTTTTGGTTGATGACACTTGTCAATCCAGAGGCACTCAGAACACAAGGCAAGCTCAGGAAGACATCGTTCTCAATGCCATACATGCCCTGCCACAAACAAAAGAGTTATTACATCACTGATGCAAATCCATAACTCTAGAGCTGTTTTTAATTTATACAGCAGGAAGCCTTCTGACATCAGATCTTAAGACTACTACTCTGCAGCTTGCAGAAAATTTTCAGTCTGCGTATTTGAAAATAAAAGACTTGGTTTAAAGCAAACAGCAATAATGAAATTGATTATTTCATAAACTGTAACTCCAAAAATCCCATTTATATCTAACAAGTAGGCTGACAAAACTCAAAAGCAGTAGGATTAGAGCAAGCAGAAATGGCAGATCTTTTTTCTAACTATAGAGGATGCTGTAAAATCAGCCAGCTCAGAGCCCATTGGTCCACTAGAGGTTATTCAGCTGGCACAGACTAGATACAGATATATAGACAAAAAACATGTGTTCTGCCCCAGCACCCTTAGCAAGGGAGTGTTTCATGGAAACACATTTGGGCTTCCACTATTTTTATTTTTTTTTTTCTCCACTGACAGCCTCTTTTAATGAAGCTGTATGCCATACATGGCAAATTTCACACAAAGGTAATACAGTGCTGGGCGGTACAGTATTTGCTTACCCTTCTTACAAGTATGGAGCAGAGAACTAAGAAGTCAGGAGATAAAATTACAATAGGATGCTCCCTTTGTAACACCTGAAATTCAGAGTAGATTCTTAAAAAAATAACAAAGCTTCCTTTGTTCACCGCCTTGCTAACTGACACTGTTCAATTTTTCCATAACAAAAACTGTGCTAGAGCATCCAGTACACCAACATTTCTTACCTTCACCAGTGTTGACACAGAATGAACTCGGCACAAGTTCTTCAGCATTGTCTCACAGAGCTCAGCAACGCTAAGGCCAATGGCCCAGTTTGTATACCCCTTGAGTCTGATTACCTCATAGGCACTACAGAAACATTGAAATATACTAGGATTAGTTAAAGAGCATTCAAAGTATACTGAAGACAAAGTCTTAGATAAGCAAACATTCGCTATCTAAAAAAGAAAACACAAAGCCACAACACACTCCTATGACACACTGCAACTTTTAGAACTATAAATGCCAAAGAAGTCAAACATTCCAGCATTAGAGCATAAAATATAGAGCTTACGTTAACCCAAATGTATAACAATAAACCCTATTGTTCTCTCAGCGTTAGCTGAAAAAAGAAAAATAGCTTCCCCATCTGAACAATTCTGATAGTGAAAAACAGAAAGCCATGTACAACTAACAAATTCTCTATTCAAATCAGTGGAACAGTGATTTAAATTGTCATTCTGAATACACAAAAACTGAAGTGGAAAGGAGATGCAGCATGCAGAAAAGCATCTCCATTATTACATGCATCCACATTATTCCTTAACTCACTGTACCTTTCAACAACCTGCTTGTGGACTTCCTTCCAGTTCTCACTGTCTTTGTCAGTACCCATGGCAGGATTCAGCTCCTGGAGAGAAACACCTGCCACATTAACTCCACTCCAAACAGCCACTGCAACAGAAAGAGAATATAAGCTCCACAGCACTCAGCAACTCCACCTGCTCTTGGTTCTAGCTAGGATATATTAATGAAACAAAACAATAGCAGCCGGAGCCACAATAAAGTTTGAGGCAGATCCTGTCTTCATTTAACAAGAATTAATTCTGAGAACACTGGGTGTCAGAATATTCTGAAAATACTTCAGTACTGACACTGAAATTCATCCGTACACATGAAAAGCAGAACTTTCAGTCCTTCAAAGGTTTAGAGAGCTATTTTTTCCAAGTCAGAAACCTCAAATTCCTACAGACTGAACTATCTGAACTATTTATTCAGCTTTTTAGAACAAATTTTACAGAAGAATCGCTGTCTGTACATTTGCTGCCCCACTGATCAGTATGAGTATTAGCCTCCAAGAACTGTACTCTATTTCCCTGAACAAGTTAGCAATATGCAAGCTTAGAATACCAAGAAAGGAATTTGTCAATCTCCTTTCATATCAAAAGCTTACAAGGAGATTCATTCTGCAAACTCACTAGGAATTTTTCTAGATACTTCAAAGCAAAAATAGATGAAACAGTGAAGCAGAATAAGCTCTCTTACTGTAGAGCTGGCTTCAGTTAGTACTGTAGTTGATGAGACACTACTTTGATCAGATGCAGTGTGACACTGTGAAATGTGGATCTCTTAAAAAACACACAGCACTAAAATTCAAAGCGGTGCCATCATCCATATAGTTGTTCTGCTGCATCCTGTCAGACTTTAAATAAACATAAAAGCTGAACTAAGACAAATTTAAAACCATGAAATCAAAGAAGCTTCTCTTGAAGCTTCTATTGAAATAGCATGGAGGAAATTCACAAAATAAAGGGATTTTTGTTTACTTCAATCTGGATTACTAGGCTTTTAGACTATTTGCAACAATCCCATT